CATAACCATTGGATTTCAAGATATGAACCATTTCCTCTATTTTGGAAATGAAGGTTTCAAAACTAGTACATGTATTCGAAATCCGCAGAGTTTCCGTATATATGACAGCTCCTTTATGTTAGAAATATTAGTATCACTATGAGGAAAGCGAATGACCTTAAAATTGAAATCATCTGTTTTATTATACAATTCTGTAAATATTTTGCCATTATGTATATAAACTTTTAAATCAAGGTAGTTACTACAGTTGTCAACCGCATGTGTTTTTTTGAGCTCGAGTTTGCGTTTATATACTTTGTCTAATATTGAGTCTACCATGAAATCACTTGGTAGCGTATTAGGTTGGAAAGAAAGTTCTGAGCCGATTTTTTGAAAGCTCCAGAACTTTCGCTTATTGGTCGATACCTAGAATCTGCTACGTGATAGACTATCGTTGTCGATCATACTTCTCCGCAATAGGTATATATTGCCGGGTTGCCTTCTTTAACTTTTAATAATAATGATGGTGATTCCACAAGAACACTTTCGAGCGATCATCTTCAATGAATCGCGCTGCGGCACAGGAGCAGTGGGAACCGTCAACATTATCAGCATCGCATTGGGAAGGGTCACCACTTCCATCATCAGTGCCAAGCTCTGGTTCGCAGGCTTCGAGGGAGGAGACACGGCTTTCAAAGAAAAGACAAGGTTGGGAAGCCCACAAAAGGTAGAAGACTCCACCGTTCTCGGCGCTGTCGAAGAGGATCCGGACGTTAGCACCCGCAGCCTTGTGATAAGACTCGGGTGCACCCATCCCACAGTCCTCGGTCCCCTTCACGACCTCGCCACAGGAAAGTGGATGACTCAATGGATGTCGATAGCACGCGGGTACAGCGGGGTACCCGTGTCAGTTCTCCTTCTTTGCCCGCACCGAAAGGGGTTTTTGGAAGGCGTGATTACGAGAGATGAGAGTGGGGTCCTATACGATTCTAACAAGCACGGTGCCGTGTGGCTCCCTCGAAGAGAGGGCCTGCCGACACAAGCAAAATCGGACCTTCACCCCAAAAGCTGTCTCCTTTGCTACCTCTGGGATTCGTGAGGAATGCTGTACTATGATATGCTCCCGTAAAGACATACCGCTACCGGCAGCATTTACGCCAGTCTGCTCTAGAAACTAGCGGACGCTGTTCAAGAAAAACGACCGAGACGAACTTCTGTCCACCTACTCCACGATGACGCCAGGCCCCACAAAGTTAAAGAGACCCGTGCAGAATTGGAAGAGCTGATCTGGGACGCGGTTCCCCATCAACCCTATTCCCCTTACATTGCCTTCTCTGATTATCACTTACTCTATCCCCTTAAGGGATCCCTAGCGAAGAAAGAATTCACCAAAGGTAAAGAAGTTGGAAGAGCGGTCAGCGATTTCTTTGACTCTCAGTCTGCTCTGTTCTGGGAGAAGGAAGTCGCTGAACTGCACATTAGGTGGGACTCTGTAGTGGGTAGCAATGGTGATTATATTGTTGGGTAGATTCCATTCTACGTGGAATAAAAAAGCAAAGAACAAAAAAGTGTCAAACGGCTCAGGACTTTTTTACCACCCTAATAATAATGAGGTATCCATATATCTTATAGGGGATAAAAATACTTTTCATTAAACTTCAAATTTTTTGCATATTTGTACTCCATAATAGAGAGTGTAAGATCTGCAAGAAGGGGGCTAAAATTCCCGCCCTGTGGTACTCCTTTTTTCTGTGCAAAGATATAGCCACCAAAAGTGCAATAACTATTACGAGCAGGAATTTATTTCAATGTGTGAACAATATGGGGCATTTCGATAGTATCTATATTGTGGTTTAATATCCTTTCCATCACTATAATAAACATTGTAGCCATTAGTGGCTATGAAAGATTTATTAGCATTTTTGAAGCATATATTCAGAAGTTCTTTTGCATTACCGATAATCAAAGTATGTTCTAATAGTACATATGGACAATCCTGCTGTTGAATCTTGAATTATAATAACGAATATTGTTGCAGTCATATTATTTGATATTGCGGTATCATAGCATGGTTGGGGTTAAGCAAATAATGGTTTATCAACCTTGTGAGAGCGGATTACGTGTCTGGATGATGGGCCCAGATTCTTGATGAGTCGCACGTGGAGACTTCGAGAACTAATATGGTGTTCCAGAACGCCGATGGACGCATTCTATATCGATCACCGATTTTTTTTGGTAATTCATACTCGCAGAATGTTGATGTTCAACTCGTACGTGACTGAAGAGCGGTAAGCGACATACACATTAAATCTCATTAAAAAATAACAAACGAATCTGAATGTCATGTTTTCCTGTTAGGTTCAATGAGGAAAGAACAAAGATCGAGGTTAATCAAGGTAAATTACAGGGAACACTCTCAAAGACTGATCAACAGTCTGTTAATAAAACATTCAACACCAATAATCAAAAGGCACTTGACTGCTCGCTGAAAAGAAATCCTGAGCTATTCACGAACTATCAGGGATTCACGATCGGGACAACACCCAAAAAAAAACAAACAACCAACCAACTCCTATCACCTGGATTGGGACCTGAAAAAAAGGGTGCGAAACTTATGAGCGATCACAGAAAACGGTTGGATAGCCGAACACTTTAGTGTAGGTCAAGCTGATCTAACCGATGTGCTAATCCCTGTGGGCTCTAACATGCCTGCAGAACTGCAACGGGTATTAGGGGTTGTCCATAATTAGTGAATCACTTTGGGTATTTTTGAATTCAAATTTTTTTTTTTTATATGTGGAGTCTTTGCTCATCCAAACATACATCTCTGTCATCTACAATGTATTGCCTATAAGGAAATTTTGTCGCTGTCTTATCTCTAGAAATCCAGGAGCTATTGATCGAAGAAAGATCGGAAGTCGAGTTTGAGGTCATGTCACTTAGCGTAAAATTCCTCCCTGGGGAAGAGCGCTAGAGGTCAGAACTGAGTTGCCTCTTGTTGGCACGAGGATAGGGCCACACAGCGGAGGTGAAAGAACTGCTAGCTTAGGAGTCTCCAATTTTTTATGAATATTCTCCGCAAGGTGGGTCGAACGACCTCAGGAAAAAAGCAGACTTTGTCTTGCTTTACTTTCAAATTGAACGCGTCGCCATTACGCTGTAGATGTTGATCTTCTTCAGTGACTCTAGTATTACTGGGCGGCGGTTCCCAGCGCATGGTCACTCTCGTGCTCCACCAATATCTCTGAAGGGTCGGACTCAAAGGGGTTCGGCTTTTGCTGTGCGAACTCGTTCGAATCTGGGGCATGCTAGGCTGGCCGCTTTTTTGGAGTTTGGCTGTATTAGCCCCAGTCCAGACCTGACGTGAATTGTGATCATCACCGGTATGGGACGAAGAGGAGATCAGAAGGAACATGATAGATGTCAGATAGTGTGTGGAGCTGTTTCGGGCTCACAGCATACAAGTTACAAAATAAATATTTTAAAATCGTTACAACTCTACGTAGATGTCTACATTCTATCATTTTAACAAGTCGGACATGCTCTTAGCAAACGGCGACTAGTTTGTCCATATCCACGCCCATTAGCGCTAGGTACAGCAGTGAGATTGCCAGTTGAAGGGGTATATCGGATGGTGGGTTCTTACTAAAAGCCAATCTCTCGAGTAGGTGGGCTACAGGCAGACTGTGGATTGAGGGAGCGTGCCTCGCCTATCTGCTGCTTGATTCTCTATGTTGTTGGGCGTTCGAAAGATCCTAATCAGAAGCGATTAAGAAGGGAGCTCAAAAATAGGTTCCAAAAAATTGAAATATCAGCCACGGAAGGCAGCATGGAAATGGGCTGAGTAATTGCTCAGAGTAGGATAATGTGGATGCTACTTCGCAAAACCCGTTTCACGCCTCCACCATTTTTCTTAAATTTTGAATAACAAAAAATATAACAGTGATTCATAGCGGTATTGGGGCAAGACTAATTAGTATAGCCGGGGAGGCCAGGGTGCAGTAAGCCCCGGCCATTGGATGGGTCCCCAAAACTCTACTACTCTGGTAGACGACCGTGATCAAGAATATGGGGATGCGTCCATAGAAACGGAGTTTTGGGGACTCATTCCCTCGCCGGGGCTTGCTGCACCCAGCCCCAAGTGGTGGGATTTTTTCGGGATTTGATCAGATTTTCGCTAGAAATTGCCATGGAAGGGAATTCAGGAGGCATTTTCAATGATTACAGCTTCTCCGATGCATTTTCTTTTTGCTTCTTTCAAATTCTAGCTGCGGACAGACTGGAGGGCGCATCAGTTGCGCCGTGGCCCAGCAGGGGCGAGGGTAGGACGGGAGTAAGGAAACGTGTCGTCTTGGCCCTTTCAATTTCCTCGGCATAAGGTCTCCACCTTCAGAAATCTTAACAGCTCATCTGCCATAACAATCCACAACAGCACCAAGGTACAAAAGTTGGCGCATTCCAAAATTCATTACAATCTTAAAGGACGAATTCACGATGAAAAAGCAACCCATTTCAAATTAACCTAGGGATGGTGAGTGGTACACGAAAGAAGGAAGAACCATGAGAAACGGCCCAGAACCCGAGAAATGGTACCCCTTCCTTGCCCGTTGATTCGAGCATTGATGCGACTCTCATCGCTGTGCCCTCTTCAACACTACGCTCTCTCAGCTATCTAATCACTCGCCACGTATTGAACTACGGCGAGTGATCAGATGATCGGTGGGCGGAGATCGCCGGACCCGCCAGCTTTGAGGCATGATAGGTCGCCGAGGTCAAATTTTTCCATGCGAATTGCGCGTCAGTTCGCACCCTCAGGAGGTCCGTGGGTCCCTCAACTAGGTCAGTTTCCCTTTCTTCGACCTTCATTCTAATCGTGAATTCCTCCTTTAAAATCAGTTGACATCATGACCATTGTACTCTGCGCACTACTTTCAAGACTACCGGGTAGGTGAATTCCATGGATTTTTCTATTCTCAGCCTCAGCTGTTCCTCGAGCAACACTTCCATCCAGTAGTAACAATGATCTTTACCTGAATAAAGCTTTCGATGAAGAGCACGTATTCGCGACATTTCTCTGGAAGGTCTTCCCATGTTCGTACGCCAACTGTCGGCGATTCCCATCCAGGGAACACTTTGTATTCAACTTCAACGCGATCCCAGGCGGCTGCTTGAGCTACAAATAATGAACAATTAGCATGATATCGCAACGGTAATGGGTGGTTTATAATGTACTAGTCATTCCTCCAACGTAGCGCGAACTGCCTGATTCAGCATGTGCACCAAGCATAGGGGGAATAATTCAATTTAGGTAGCTTTTCACATAATCCCAGCTGCCAGTACTATTCATATCAAGTCCACAAATAAATACTGGGCTCGAGATTAGAGAGCATGGGGACGGGTGAGACGCAAACACGAACGCATTCGCAACGGTAGATGTGCATCTATGCAAGGGCCATGTGATGACGAAAGACATAGCGCTGGTCACGCGCTTTCAAGTTGCGCAATCGGCTCATATAGAGCTTTTCAATTCAGTCGTGGAATGTGCCCTCAAACAAAATATATTCAAGCATGACATTTTCATACTAAACGCAATAAAATGGCGCGAATACACCTATGGCCGACGAAAAATTGAGCAATATCGTCAAGCTAGATGCGACCTCTAAAATTCTGTCTCCTCAAATCCTTCAGTGAAGTGTAAATAACCAACCAGGAGGAGCACTGAGAGGTTCGCCATCGAGACGATACCCGACGGCGGCTTTTATTTCCTTAAATGTGTCCAAAATGTCCAGCTTGGTCAGAGCGATCGCTGTGTAGCCGTTGATCTGAGCGCTGCGGCGTAACAAAAACAAATCGAGCCATCCACATCTAAAAAAATATTCGAAAAATCGGATATCGAGACATAACAATCAAAACGTTCTCAACAACCATACGCTGACTCCTTTTCCCAGGGTGACCTACTCTTATTCCATAGACTGCAGAAGATCTCCAGTTTCGTCTTTGCAATTCCGTCCGCGGAAAGGACCAGTTACTACTCGATGTTGATATGATTTACATACTCAAAACCGAACAGAGAAAACAGTTGATGTCTTTTCGAAAATATGATAAGGTTAATTTGTCAACCTTGAGAAATGGCAGTGGGAGGTTGGCTTAGACCAAGAATACACGCTCCACACGGCCTAGCATTGCGATGAATCGAAGTATGGGATAGGTTCCTTGAGCAAGCACAAGCGCCTTGATGTATCTCCCTTTTTTCAAAGAATAAAGGGATTTTAGATGAAGCAAGATGCGGCACCGAAAAGACGCAACATTTCAGCATATTTGTCCTCAATTGCGATTTGTTGTTTAGGTTTTAATTGCTATTTTTCGCCACAATTCATCATGCGAAACTTATTACAAAAATGTTGAGTTATGGGAACAGCACTTTGCCGAAGCGGAACTCGAACTCGCATCTCTCGCTCACCGGGCGAATGCGTTACCGAAAATTAATAGCCACTAGAATTTTCAGCGGTTCATTGCCGATGTCGGCTTGTTAGTCCCATCGCAATAATCGTGCTGAGTGATTGATAATCCTATATACAGGGGGGGGGGGGGAGGCAAAAAAAGTCACTTTGCCTATGGCGCATATCATCAAACTTTTCGTCGCAAAGGATGCCGCTGTTATTGGGAGTTATACGGCGAAATTATTCCTTAGATGTCCCCCCATAAGCAGAATCAGGCCCACCTTCGCTGCGTTCCCGTCTCCAGAATATGACGTCATCTGTCATCACCGTCGAGCTTAAGGAGGCCTACCATAATCGCTCCATTCTGAAGCTGCTACATAAATTCTTCAATCGGATAACTGGTGAATGACTTCTTAGAGACACTAGCTCTGACTATGCAAAATGGCTTTTGACCAGCGTTTCAGAGACGTCGTAATCGTCTATGGTTTCTCGACGACCTCCGTTGAGCTCGTACCGCGAACCATGTTTCCGTGGGAAAATCTTCTGATGTCGTCAGGTCTGGAGAGGGCCCCCCATGTAATGTTTTTAATAGAATAGAATGTGGTTTACAAATGCAATTAGCTTATTCGGTTTGATTTGGCAGTATGTAATTAATCGTTTTGAGCTAAGGAGTTACTTCTTTTTTGGCCCATGTATTATACCAATCAAACGCTGAAGGTGAACGTTGGATGTAGAAGAAGGGAAGAAAGGAGTATACCCACTACAAAAGAACAGGACGGGGACTCCCAGGAAGGCTAAGTGGAGACGTGCATTCGGCCGCAAGGGCGCCCCCTATCGTAAGCTCCTAGCTAACCCAAAGCTTAAGCAGCGCCGCCACTCATGACCCAGCCTGCCCCTGAGGCGCGTACTTTGTTCTTCATTTTGTCAGCTCATTTCATGTAGAACGACCACTTCTCTGAGTTTTACAAGTAATGTTAAATTAATGAAAGGATGATGCCTGAAGGTATGATACCGGCTATCGGGATTAGCACGTGTAAATGAGCTTGGTTGGTCACGGACCCGCTCCAACGTGGGAATCCAATGAGATTGAAAAAGCGTCCAACGACGTTTCGTCAGATTTTAGGCGAACTTTGCTCCGCATTATTCGCTTACACCAGGTGCCCACACTTAGGCACCTCTAACCAGTTTCAGTGGGGCTACGAATTTTCGTATCATCCTTACAGCATGGGATTGCGATGAGACTGGGTTCGGTTCTGGATGTGAAGATGCTGAATAATGCCCCAGTGGCGAGAAAAAGCAAAGAAGCCGTCAAAAATGTGCAAAATAGGACCCCTTCCTTTGCCCGCTGATATTCGATAACAGACGAACTGCACCCAGTTGTGAGCCCGCCTGCACATGTCAAACCGATGGCTGCTATCTTCCAGCAAAGATCATGTTTTGATTGATGACGCACTCCATGGGAAAGCTATAGGGTAGGCACTCGAATTGGAATACCTCATCTAAATGATAAGAACAAGTAAGTACTTGTAAGCAAGACGCTTATGGGTCTGCAACACAGGCAGCAGAGGGGGAGCTGTAGACCGGAAGCTGAACTAGCACGCCTCTGGTCACAAAAAGGCCACATCTCGCTTCCTTAGGCCCCCGACTACTGCTTCCAGCGGGCACGTACCTCCACACAAACTTTATCGTAATCTCGCGCTTCAAGGTGAAATGGCGCCGTGGAGAGGTTTGTCAGGGGAGGAGAGATGCATGATGAAGACTCGCTTGAGGAAAAGTGTTTTCTCCATAACTCAGCATTCTGATATATAATAATTGTATTATCCAAATGTAGAAAACAGCTAACCGAAATCAATATCCAAGAGAGCACCGTTGGCACCTTCAATCAAGATTGAGCGGCCTTTGTTCCGCATATTATGAATAAATCCAACAGTGTCGCCAACCAAGTTCAATGAGATCAGCTTCTCACGATGCTCCTAAGCATATATCTCAATCTCTGAATCCACATTTCATCATATTCCGCTGATCGAATTTTCTCAAGGGGGGGGGGGAGTAGAGTCGGTAGAGAAATGAACAAAAACCATATATAACCAGTGCTTGAGCCCGTGAAATGGTTTTTTACTGTGCTTTTATCCCCTATACATATAGCAGGGGCCACACAGCGACATAAGTGGTGTAAAAGAGAAGCGGATCACCAGACAAGTCGTAGCAACACCGAGATCCATACCTTGAATCGTGCCAGTTCTGCCTCCGTATCTATATCGATCGTGGGAAACTGTTTTCGATAATGATCCACAAGCCGGCAGTAGCTGTAAAAGATCTGCTAGTCTTCCTTGTCTATACTACCTTTCAAAAACAGAAAAAATTGAGACCTCTCTGAAAATGCTTCAAAATCACCCAAAAGGTCCGCAACTCGTATGCCATTACGGAAACATTTCGAAGAATATGTTGGACCTATACCACGATTCGTTGTACCGATTTTGCTAAAAACAATTAGTACCAATAGAGCCACAACGTGCTAACTTTCAAAAAAGATTTGTCTGAGTACACAGGACTCGTTCAAGTACAGAAAGTGAAAGACGTGAATTAAAAGTTAAGAAAGCGTGCCTATATTTTTACTGCGCCAGAGGCAATCACCACAGTTAGCACATGACTGACGCGCATGCGCGTCAAGAGATTGGTATTTTCTACGTTTGAAATTCTCCGCTTACATTATTGGACCCAGAAAATGTGATGTAAATTAAAGCAACAGTCCCAGCAGGGTTTTACCTTCGACACTAATGGTGTGAACGATGCGCTAGCCCTAGTCAAGAACATAAGTGTGACTGAACAAAAAACTCACCTTGGAAAGCCGCGAAAGGAGTTGAACGCCTTCGAAGTGGGCGTGTCGGCCACCGATCGTAAGCCCCTCTTGCCAGCCGTGGAGATCGCGTGATTGGCTGCGGAGGCATTTGCGTGGATCGTGGATCGAGTTCAAATAGTCCCTGTGGTCCAAATCGGTCGCAAATGCCTCCGCAGCCAATCACGCGATCTCCACGGCTGGCAAGAGGGGCTTACGATCGGTGGCCGACACGCCCACTTCGAAGGCGTTCAACTCCCTTTCGCGGCTTTCCAAGGTGAGTTTTTTGTTCAGTCACACTTCTTATGTTCTTGACTAGGGCTAGCGCATCGTTCCACACCATTAGTGTCGAAGGTAAAACCCTGCTAGGGGCTGCCGTCAAAGAGATGAGCTAAGCCAATTAAGTCCAAAGTGAGTGAGAAGGATTGAGCGATTCATGGAGAAAGAAAATGTGCCATTCCCGCTCTTCGAAACTGCGAGCGGAGCTTAGGATTGGTTACGGCAGCAAGTCACTGCATCTACTACTTCGAACGCGACGGTTGACACAATGAGGAGTTCTCACTCGCCTTTGTGCTTTCCCACCTCTCCACCAGCTCAACATTCATCCATCGTAGCACATTCTATCTCTTCGAAGAGGATTTCCTCAGCCCTTGAAACAGCCCCTTACAAGTATTCTCTGGTTTTATGCGGAATATGGTTTTTAAGCGGAATATCAATATAACATGATCGTGAAAAGTGCCTAAAAATATGCACGTGTGGTGACGTCAGAAAGCTGGAAGCATGTCCTGACGGTTGTTCAGGCAGGCATATAACAAGAAGATGGAGCCACCGCACATCACTGCAAGCTTCCTTTCACAAAACGGCACGAAGTAGGATTGGGAAGGGATGATAGGTCGAGAAGGTCGTATATAGGTGAAAAAAATGATTTAATCCTCTTTGTTTTTTCTCGTACCAGACTCTGAGGAAATCCACTTGAAAAAACATACTTTATTTGAGACAGGCTCGCCTCATGACGACCATCAACCTGTGCGTGGACTCCAAACACGAGATGAGCTTCAGCCGATATCATGATCCTAGAAAATTTCGTATAAGCTTAAGATTTTAGCTAACCTTTACGAACTGGTTTTACCTCTTTTCCCATCCTGGCTCATCTGTCACGCCATTATGATCCAGCTCAGAGAAGAAAGCATCCAGGTTCACGACAACTCCATTTCCTATTATGTTAAAGCCTGAAAACACCGACGATAGTGACCGTAAAGAATTCACGCGCGCTTGAAATAATTCAAAAAGAATAGACCATATTAGAAAAAAAGATTTAATCAGAAAATGCTATGTGATTATTCACTGATAACCTGAACCCTACAGCATGACTGTGATACTTAAAGGCAGTGGTCACGATGAATAGAATGCGGCAGCTCTGATGACGTCATTGAGCGCATTGGTGTAACGGTTGTTCAGAGGTCTGACCCTAGCCGATCACCCCAAGATACGCTGAGTTTCAGGGCGACGGACTATACAATCGTCGGCTAATGAGGTCACGCCGCTCACGCGGCGAGAATCGTCGCGTGCGGCAGTTGCTGCGGCGATTTCTGTGTGGACCTTTTCTTATCCATCCATGCCCATAAGTTGGCTAGGTGACTGATAACACCAGAGTGCTGGACATCAGTAAGCCAGCAAGCGTCACTGTAAGATCCCTGCAGTGATTTAAGCCTCGCAGTACAAACTGTACCGTGTAAAGGTTGTCCTTTTGGATTTAATTTGACTTCTTTATTAATCAGTTTCCTGAATTTCTATCAGAGAGTGATAATCTGGTTCAATCGGAAAGAATATTGCGTATCAAGACACAGAGTAGCGGCGAGGAAGGCTCTAACATAAGCATGATATGATAAGTATGTAATAACGGCGAGCGAAAACGAAACTGCATTTTAAAGGTTAGGTGGTTCTTATTTCATGTTTCATGACGGGAAACATGATCTGAATCGTACATTCCCCAATGCTTGGATGCTGAGTTCTTTGCAAATTCGCCGCGATATTGCTGGCTGCGGCGGCCCGCGCGGCGACCTACTTACTGCCACGATTGTATAGTCACGCACCCGACCAGTTGTTCAATTCTGCCAATGACGCTAAATGGAAGTTACCGAACTTCGCAATCGCCCTCAGCTCAGTAATCAATTACAAAGTTTTGGAAAGGGATTGAAAAGTGGAATGCTCAATATTGCTCGGCATTTAAGAAAAACAAAACTCTCCTTCGACCTGCCTTCCGAATTTGAGGTCTTAGTGCTAAATACGCATACAAACCGCAAAAACGGAGTGTAGCAATCAAAATCAACTTAGTGATGCCCGCCGCAATTTATTTTCTTGAAGCCAATTCTGAGAGCAATAAGTTATACTAGGCAGGGCGACAAAAATCGATTTCCAAAGGATTCAAAACACCCCGGACATGCCTAACATTACAACTTGCCCCATAGGGCGCAACAGCAAAATTCTTGGAATCTACCTACAGGTTTACGCTATCCGTACTAAGAATTCGTGTCACTGCCTACTGACAAAAAATGCGGCGAGCACGCGATGTTGTAATGATTTCATAAGCGATTCAACAGATTTTTTACGACCGATTTGAAATCGTCCATTCAGGATTGCGTTAACGAGTGATGCTTCAAACAGCGATTTCGAACATTTTTAGGGGTTTCCCCTCTTCAAGTTGTTATATCTGATAAAAAAACATCGCTAATCAGCTTCCTGGGAGAATTCACGATAAGAGCGAAGGTCAAAGAAGGGGAAATTGCATAGTTGGGAAACAGGCGGACCTCTTCAGGTAGCTGACTGACGCACAATTGGCAGCGAAAGATTTGATCTCGGCGATTTAGCTGCTGCACTCTTGCGCTGAACTTGGCGGGTACGCCAGCCGACTATCTTATTACGCCGATCGTTTGATGGTCGCCAACGATAGTAGAGCAGTGTGGCGAGTGATTAGATAGCAGAGAGAGCGTAGTGTTGAAGAGGGCACAGCGATGAGAGTCGCATCAATGCGCAAATCAACGGGCAAGGAAGGGGTCCCATTTCTCGGGTTTCGGGCCGTTTCAATGGTTTCTTCTTCATCCCTGCTCCACTGACCACCTCTACCCTTATTTCCAATGAGCTAACTTTTCATCGTAAATTCTGCCTTTAAGGCAAAAATCACAATGAAATGGATGCGAATGAGAAAGGTGGGTAGTGGAGAGTGTAGAGGAATGACCAAGTAGGCGGCAGGTAGTAAATTTTGCGGCAGAAGGCGTGCTATAAGCCGCGTAATGAGGCGCTTGAGAGTCTTAGAAAGCCCCTCCTGTTCTCAAACATGCATGCACATTGTCGGCGTACTGTTTCACCGACCATCGAACAGCAACTGCTCATCAGTTGCCGCAGCTATTATGCCTGTGTTAAATTTAACGCTTTGTCAGCGGTGAACTCGTCCATACGAACCAACAGGTGAAAGCGGTTCCTTTCCTCGGGTTTTTGCCCGGTTCTCTTAGTAACTTTTGAAGAAGGAGCACCATCTGGCACCTCTACTTCCACAGTAACCGTTCATCAAAGTGAGAGACTTAACTCATCAAGTACCACAGGAAAGACTTACTTTCGGACTAATAATTCCACTAGGCAAAATATGAAAGTCATATTTCTTTCCATTTGCAACGACCGTGTGTCCAGCGTTGTTGCCTCCTTGACAGCGCGCTGTCACTTGTACCTGTAACCGAGAGAAAAATAAAGTCAAATACCGAGTTCGATAGAATTTCATTAAACAATTTCAGAAACTCATTTTCATCTCATATAATCAAAAAAGTCATTAACACATTGGAGACCGCGCATGTTTCACGTTTTTCGGCCGCGTGGGACTTCAGTGAAATTTTTAGGAATCTTATCAAGCAAATTGGAAGAAAAACTACTGTATGATGCAGAAGAAACCTTATCGAATGAAATGGAAAAGAAAACAAAAGAAAAACTTAATATTTGTTTCCGAAATGTGAGCTGAAAGGTCCTACGCGGTCGACGGACTGCAGCCCACATATGGGCTGCATGGGCTCCAAGGTGTTAATAAAGGAGTAGATCTAATACTAGCAACGGAAATTCATGTCCACACAAGAAAAGAAATGTTCACGGGAATAAGCCTAACCCAGTCTCTTCTCAAGACTTTGAATATGAGTCACATCGCCCCGTACATAGGAAAAAAATCTGATGAATCCTAGACTTTATATTCCTCCTGAACTCCAAAAATATGTATGCAAATAATCGTTCGACGTGAATGACAAAAAGGGATTACTCACCAAGGTAGCAAACGCGATCGAGGCGCAAAATGGACGATTGCTAAAGAGCGTATTCCGATAAGGAGGTCCTTTCGAATAAACAACAACTAAAGTGATGTACTGGAATACGGATACGTAGAACACAGCCGTTCCCTGAAGCACCATTTCCAGATTAAT